CACATCAAGGTGGAACGCTCTTCCCACAACTGTAAAGGAAAGTAAAACTATACTTACCTTCAAAACCTCTCTTAAAGAGCACCTTCGGGGGAAAGCATTGCAAAACTGGCCCCGGTAATGGTACAAATCTCAACCTGTCGTACAATGGACAGCTTCCCCCCCCATCTATGTATATACTCGCATTTTAGACTCTGTTACTAACTGTATATCTGTAGACTTGGTATGTCTTAAATGTCCGGTTAGGATGTATTAGAACGAAATCTAAAATGAAAATTGTAAATAAGCCATCTGTATGTAAAAAACCACCTGTATGTAAATTGTAAATAAGCCATCTGTATGTCAAATATGTCTTAAATGATATGATGAATTGGAAATGGGGGACCCCTGATGTAAACAAGACGAAAGTCTTTCTCTGGTCTGCATCCCCTTAACAATTGTATGTTTTGAGCTGTACTGTACTGTACCCAATATACAAGCAAGCAAGCAAGCAATCAATCAATCAAGCAATCAATCAATCAATCAATCAATCAATCAATCAATCAATCAATCAATCAATCAATCAATCAATCAATCAATCAATCAATCAATCAATCAATCAATCAATCAATCAATCAATCAATCAATCAATCAATCAATCAATCAATCAATCAATCAATCTCACACACACACACACACACACACACACAACACACACACACACACACACACACACACACACACACACACACACACACACACACACACACACACACACACACACACACACACACACACACACAACACCACCACACACACACACACACCATTCACACACACACACCACACACACACACACACACACACACCACACACACACCACACACACACACACACACACACACACACACACACACACACACACACACACACACACACACACACACACAGCTGAAAGAATCTGTGAGCAATTTGAGGCTATATGTGATGAGTACAGCATTAAAAACAAGATAGACTACATTATTAGTGACAATGCCGCCAACATGCGCAAAGCGTTCACTGTGTGCTTCCCAACGGAGCAAGAAGATGAAGATGTTGATGAAGAGGATGATCTTGATGACCCAGAGCTATGGCATGACCTTTCCCTTGAAGATCAGGAAACAGTAGATGCTGCCATGGCAAAAAAACAGCGCTTGCAGTGTTTTGCGCACACACTGCAGCTGGTGGTGGGAGACGGATTGAAGGAAACAAAAGGAACAACCTCTTCTCTTGCAAAGTTGTCTAAGCTCAGCTCACTGCTGCATACAAGCACAACTTTTAAAGATGTGTTTGATGCTGAATTTGGGGAACAAAGAGGCATCCCTGCTGCTGTCACCACAATGCTATTAGGCGCCGTGCTGGTGGCTGCCTGTTGCATGCAGCTCCCGGTGTTTTATTGATCTTTGTCTTTTTGTTTACTTTTATTCTCTTAGTTGTACTTTTTTCTTTGGATATTTATTTTGTTTTGCAGCGAACTATGGCCACGTTTTACTTCGAACGTTTTCTGGTCATTCTTCTGCTACTTTTTTCACTTTTTGTGTCGGAGAGCCATGCTCAGAGGAGTGATGGCATTGTTTACACGCGTGAGCAGCTGATTGCGCTGTGCCGACCCGTGCTGCTGCCCGGAGCCAGGCATGACATCCCGGAGGAGCTTCGGAGGCTCAAGCGGGGCTGCAGAGCTGGGGCCAAGCTGAGGATGAAGAAGAAGATGAGGTACAAACCCTGTGTACCGGCCATCATAATGGGGAACGTGAGGTCTTTGGGGAATAAGATGGACGAGCTCCGCGTGCTGACGAAGACGCAGTGGGAATACCGTGAGTGTAGCATCATGTGTTTTACCGAGACTTGGTTGCACTCGCTCATCCCGGATAATAACACGGCTCTTCCCGGCTTCACGAGTGTTCGGGCGGACAGGGACGTTATTCTGAGCGGTAAAAAGAAAGGAGGAGGGATTGCACTGTATGTGAACGAACGATGGTGTAATCCTGGACATGTTACTGTGAAGGAGCGTTTCTGTAGCCCGGACATTGAACTGCTAGCTGTGGGATTACGTCCATTTTATCTACCTAGAGAACTTTATTCTGTCATCGTAGTTGCTGTCTATATTCCACCGAACGCGGACGCGGAGGTGGCTGGTGACGTCATTCACTCCTCTGTGGCCAAACTCCAAACTCTTCACCCAAATGCATTCATAACAATAACTGGGGATTTTAACCGTGCAAAACTGGACAAATCTCTGCCTACATTCACTCAGTATGTGAAATGCCCCACCAGGGGAAATAATACTCTGGATCTTCTATATGCAAATACCAAGAATGCATATTGTGCCACTGCCCTCCCCCCCCCTGGGCAGATCTGACCACAACCTCGTCTTTTTGGCTCCTAAATATGTCCCTCTGGTGCAGAGGCAGCCTGTATCCACCAGGACTGTGAGGAAATGGACTCCAGGGGCTAATGAGGCTCTACAGGACTGCTTCGAGACCACTGACTGGGACGTGCTTTGTGTGCCACATGGAGAGGACATCAATAATATGACTGACTGCATCACAGAATACATCAACTTCTGTGAACAAACAATATTACCGGCTAAAACTGTCAACTGTTTCCCCAATAATAAACCCTGGATTACTAGTGACCTGAAAACTCTTTTAAATAAGAAAAAGGAAGCGTTTAAGTCTGGGGACAAATCAATGCTAAAGAGTATCCAGCATCAACTGAGAGACAATTTGAGGAGGGGCAGAGATTCGTACAGGAAGAAGCTGGAGACTAAGCTCCAGCAGAACAATAGCAGGGATGTCTGGGCTGGGATGAAGGCTATCACTGGCTTCAAAGGGAGAGACAGACTGACTGTGGGCACCCTGGAGAGGGCCAACGAGCTGAACACCTTCTTCAATAGGTTTAGCTCTCCGCCCGCTGCTGTCTCCTCCACTTCCTCTTCTCACCTCACCTCCTCCTCTCAGCCTGGCGTCAACATCCCCCCTCTGCTCACCACCTACACTTCACACCTCTCCTCCACCACCCAGCCTGGCTTCTGCACCCCCCCTCTGCTCCCATTGCCGCTGACCCCCCCCCCCCCCCTCTGCTCATCTTGCCTCAGCCCCCCCCCCCCTCTATCCCCCCTGCCATCAAGCCCCCCCCCCCCGCTTTACTGTGAGCACAGGACAGGTCCAGAGTCAGATGGAAAAACTCCACCAAGGCAAGGCTGCTGGCCCTGATGGTATCAGCCCCAGGGTCCTGAGGACCTGTGCACGCCAGCTGGCTCCTGTTCTCCAGTATATATTCAACCTGAGCCTGCACTTGGAGACCATCCCGGTGCTGTGGAAGACATCATGCGTTGTTCCGGTCCCTAAAAAGACAACTCCTTCTGGGCTCAATGACTATCGCCCTGTAGCACTCACATCTCATGTGATGAAGGTGCTTGAGAGACTGGTCTTGGCCCATCTCAGACCGCAGGTGAGATCATTCCTTGACCCTCTGCAATTTGCCTACCAGCCTCACCTGGGGGTGGACGATGCCATTATTTACCTGCTGCAGCGTGCTCACTCATACCTGAATGGATCGGGTTGCACTGTGAGAATCACCTTTTTTGATTTCTCCAGTGCATTCAACACGATCCAGCCTCGGCTACTGAGTGACAAGCTGCAGGCTATGAGGGTAAACTCGTCCACCATCTCCTGGATTACCAACTACCTCACGGACAGACCACAGTACGTCCGGCTGGGCAGTGTGCTGTCTGATGTGGTGGTTGGTAGTATTGGAGCCCCACAGGGGACTGTGCTGTCTCCTTTCCTGTTCACCTTATACACCTCTGACTTTCTATACAACTCAGAGTCATGCCACCTGCAGAAGTTTTCGGATGACTCTGCAGTGGTAGGGTGTATAAGGGATGGACGGGAGGAGGAGTACAGAGCGCTGGTGGGTGATTTTGTTGAGTGGACTGGAAGAAATCATCTGCTTCTGAATGTGGCCAAGACCAGAGAGATGGTCATTGATTTCAGGAGGAAGAGGACATCTCCTCCTCTGCCCCTGTGCATTCTGGGAGAGGATGTGGCAGTTGTGGAGGTCTACAAGTACCTGGGAGTGCACTTAGACAATGGGCTGAACTGGAGGATCAACACTGACGCTGTGTACAAGAAGGGGATGAGCAGACTCTATTTTCTGAGGAAGCTGAGATCCTTCAACGTATGCAGTAAGATGCTGGAGATCTTCTATCAGTCTGTTGTGGCTAGTGCACTCTTCTTTGCTGCGGTCTGCTGGGGGGGCAGCATCAGAGCCGGTGACACCAGCAGGATCAATAAACTGATCAGGAAAGCTGGGTCAGTCATCGGCATCAAGCTGGAACCCTTTGAAGCTGTGGTGGAGAGGAGGACACTGAACAGGCTGTTGTCCATCATGGATAACCCCACCCATCCTCTCCACCTGCAGCTGGACAGTCAACGGAGCTCCTTCTCCTACAGACTGCTGCAGCTCCCCTGCCACAAGGACAGATACTGGAAAACATTCCTGCCCACTGCAATAACACTGTACAACAAATCACCTCTGGCTGGAAGAGAACTCTCTGCTCCATAGTTTCTCTAGAAATAAAACCACCTTGTACATTTTTACTCACACATAATCTGTTTCATATTTAATACTCCATAATTCCATATATTTTGAATATATATATATTTGTATATATATATATATATATATAATATCTGTATGTATATTTTCTATTTTGACATGTATATTTTATATTTTATTTTATATTTTATTTTATTTTATTTCTATTCTTGTATATTTTGTTTTATTGTAAAATGCCTTTTATGCTGCTGTAACAAAAACAATTTCCCAATTTGGGATCAATAAAGTACGATCTATCTATCTATCTAAGATGGAACTCGACACTCAGGCAAGTGAAGGCAGTACTCCGTTGTGAACATCCGAAGCTTTGCCGTGTACTAGAAAAGGCTGGGCACAAGGAGTTGTTGTTCACAGCACGGGAGTGGAATGTTTTGAAGGAGTTGGTGGACATCATGAATCCATTTGGAGAAGCAACAGATTTGACACAAGGGGAAAAGATAGTGACAATCAGTTCTGTTGTTCCATCTGTCCTGTCCCTAAATCACCACCTCGAGAAGCTGAAGCCACAAGTCCGTTTCCTCAGCAGCCTGGTTAGAAGTCTCCAGGTGTCCCTGAAGAAAAGGTTTGGGGGGATTTTCATCAATGTGAAAATGGCCACATTAACACAGGATGGAACAACTGCCCCCTTTTCAGATCCTGTGTACCTCAAAGCAGCTGCTTTGGATCCAGCCTTTTCTCTGATGTGGATAGACCACCATGTGCTGGTCAGTCTTGAGGTCAAAGCTGAGGTTCGACAACATGTGAAAGGTAAACTTAATTGAGTTTATTATTACTATTTTACTCATAATTTCCTTTTAATTGATTGCAACAATAATATGTGTTCAGTTGAACCTACTGCATCACCAATACAAAATATAATAAGGGCTCTTTTGTGTCTTTTTTGTTTTGTGTTTACATGTTTTGCCAGAACTGATCCTGCGAGAGGCTGTGGAGACAGAGCAACCTACGCCTTGTGTTGATGAGGAAGAGCAAGAGAGCCTTGGACAAGGTGAAGGGCTGTTTGCTGCCTACCATAAGAGGAAGAAGAAGGATGTTGGGACCACTCCAGCACTGCAGCTAAGTCACTATCTCCACATCGCTGACGGACAGAATGTCCTTTTGTTCTGGGCAATGAACATGAAGGTTCTTCCTTCGCTGTTCAAAGTGGTCATCAGAGTTTTGGCAGTGCCTGCCTCCAGTGCTCCGGTGGAGCGAGTTTTTAGCCATGGTGGCATCATCCTGCGACCCCATCGTGCACAAATGAGTGACCGACTATTGACCAATTTGGTCTTTTGCAAATGCAATGCATTATAGGGCCCCGAGATAATAGCAAAAGTGTGGGTGAATGAAACTGTTACTTCATGTTATGTTTATGCAACTGTTATGTTTCTCAGCCTGTCGCTTAATTTGGGCAAATTTGGTCTCTTGGACCCTGAGATTGATGCATCTATAACTTGTGTTTTTCACTCACTCACTCTGTCTGACAACAACAAACACACACTTGACATCATTTTTCATAATAATAAAAAGCACACAAATTGTGTGGCTGAATGAAACTGTTACTTCATTTTATGTTTATGCAACTGTTATGTTGAAAAGCACATGATGACTTGTTAAAGACTCGGTTTTCAAAGTTTAGGACTTGGGACTTGACTTGAACTTGCCCAACCTGACTTGAGACTTGACTCGGACTTGAGCGCAAAGACTTGAGACTTGACTCGGACTTGAGCGCAAAGACTTGAGACTTGACTCGGACTTGAGCGCAAAGACTTGAGACTTGACTCGGACTTGCAAAACAATGACTTGGTCCCACCTCTGGAACATAGTAAAAAAGTGTAAATTCTTACCTCCGCCTAAAAAAAAAACCTTGAGACAGATGACTCGAAAGGACTTTACTTTCTAAAATAAAGTATTTGCATTTGCATTGTACGAAGCCCCTAAAGGGCAATGAAAGAAAGGAGTGAGAGACAGTAACTTGTTCGCAGGAGAAAGTTACCGGTGTGCCAAGTAGGAAGTGGAGCGCACAGGAGAAGGACGTTTCATTGCAGACTGTTATGTTTATGTGGGGAAATGGCAGTGCATACATTATTTGAGATATATTTCGAAGTCGGACTTCATTTTAGGGACATTTCGGCCAGGAGAGCTATTTGTTTAAGCACCGGATCGGCAAAACAGGAGAGTCTGTGAACCAGTCTGCCTTGATCTAAGAATTAATGTCCGTGACTCTCACAGTATCTGCTGCCCACAGCTGTTTTATAGAAGGAAAACCTCCTTCACTTCATAAAATCTCTGCAGCACCAGGAGACAGTAACGTGTAACTCAGCAGAATCTGAGAAGAGCAGCACCAGCTGCAAAGAGCTGTGCCTTTTACTGTTTACTTCACTGTGTTTACCTTCATTAGAACAGCTAAAGAGCAACCGCAGGCTGCTACGTTTTAACAACACACACCTCTACACACACACACACACATTCAACTGCCTGATTCTTCCCCATATTACCTGTTTTATGATTTCAGAGCCCCACTCTCCATTGTTGCTAATGTTGAAAATAAAACTCTACTCTTCATAACCAATGTCTTCTAACTGATATAAATGTGGAAACTGGGGTTATTCATCAGAATTTGGTATGACTTGACTTGCTTGACTCACCCCAGTAACTTGAGACTTGCACATGTATGACTTACTCCCACCTCTGGTATATACAGGAGACAGAGGGAAACGGCATCCTGTCACTGCGCGTCTCAGTATGCTCCGTTCGTCTTGTGTTTTGTTTTTGTTTGTTTGGTCTAATTATTGTCTAAACGTTGTTGTGTCTGTATGAAACATCATTTTGAGAGACCATGCTTTTGATCCTGTGGATTACATTTGCCTTCTGCAGACCATGTCTGGCCATACAACTTTCCAAGACACAACTGAGTGACAGCACAAACAGGTTCGTGCGAGGAGCCCGGGCCTCTACGCTGCTACAGCCGTGAGGCTATGCTGGAGCTACAATGCGATCAGCCTCATACGAATACATCAAGCCATCTGTGCTCTTCAATATTGGATGACATCCCTCGGGAGCCGCTTAGAAACACCAGGAAAAAGAGGGGAGGAAGGAGGGGAGGCGTTCAGAGTCGCCTACGGCGGAGATTCAGCCGGCCACCACTTCCATCCATCATTCTCACAAACCTGCGCTCATTGAGCAACAAAGTGGACACACTAAGGACATACACAAGGTACCGTCATGAATATCGTCAGGCCTCTTTATTATGTTTCACGGAGAGTTGGCTACAATCTACAATGCTTGAATCTCTCTTTGAGGTACCCGGATTCACCCTTGTTCGAGCAGACAGCGATGCAAACTCGGGGAAAACCAGAGGAGGCGTTATTTGTGTGTATATCAATGATCTGTGGTGCCGATCATACTCAGTAAGATGTAAAACCTGCAATCCCAAAGTAGAAATTCTTGGCATGACGTTAAGACCCTTTCATCCTCTAATCTGCCTAGAGAATTCGGGTGTATTTTACTGTTTGTTGTTTACGTGCCTCCCAGCGACAGAGCGTCAATGGCGGCCGGCTCCATCGCTGACCGTGTTCACGAGCTGCAACTCAGCCGCCCCGATGCACCGGCAATAGTGCTCGGGGACATGAAGCAATGTCGCCTGGAGACTGTGTTACCTTGGTTCCAACAGTATGTTAGGGATCCAGTGTTGTAGTCAAGTCACCAATTCACGAGTCCAAGTCACTCTCGAGTCACCACTCTTCGAGTCAGAGTCCAAGTCCGAGTCACCAAGGGAGAGTCGTAGTCGAGTCCGAGTCACCCAAGGAGTGTCCGAGTCGAGTCCGAGTCCGAGTCATAATTACCTGTGTTCGAGTCCGAGTCCATGTCCGAGTCACCTAAGAAGAGTCCAAGTCAAGTCCGAGTCACAAGTCTTCATGTATTAATCTTCGTGGATATATGTGTTGAAATGTAGCTGCTCCTCTACATTGCTTTCATCCTGTCATGTTATACTAATCTGTCTATTGAACTGCTGTGAAGCCAGTTTGGCTACAATTCTTGTAATAGGTGCTATACAAATATAAAGCTTATTACTAATATTAATATTATTATTATTATATATAAATAAACTATATTTAAAATGAGTTACCTTTTAGAGAAGTGATTATATTTGTATGCCAATATTTTCCTATGGTAAAGTATTCGTTTTGCACTTTTATTTTGATAGTAATAAGATCGGGACTCTTATTTTGAAGGAACTTTTACCGGTTAAATCGGTTTACTGATAAAGATTTAGCCCCAGAAAGCACATGGCTACTTAGCATGCAAAATTACTTCATTCTGCATGTTAAGTAGCCATGTGCTTTCGTGTTATCGGCTGAATCTTTATTTATTGATTAGATCACGTTACTCTGATGATAGTGTTCAAGACAGCCTATATGTCTGAACTCGATGTTTAGAGTAATGTGTTACGGAGCCTTCTCTTCAATATTGTTTCCACAGAGAGCATTTTGCGCTGCTCTTTCCCAATGTGGAAGCAGAATGTGTGAAAGCATACAGCACGATGCGGGGTGTGTCTCTAGACATCTTTAGACTGGAATAGCGGGGCCCAGTACGTGAACTCGCCTCGCAGCCGGTGCACACGCCAGGATAGAGGACATCAGACTCCATAGTCCGAGTCCGAGTCCAAGTCGGAGCTTCAATGTACAAGTGGAGTCCGAGTCATCGTGGGGGGAAAAATTCACGAGTCCGAGTCCAAGTCAGCGTACGCGATAATTCACGAGTCTGAGTCCAAGTCAGCATACGCGATAATTCACGAGTCCGAGTCCAAGTCATCGTGTGCGAGAATTCTCGAGTCCAAGTCCGAGTCGCGTCAATCAGTGAGCGAGTCCGAGTCGAGTCGCGAGTCCGAGTCGAGTCGCGAGTCCGAGTCGAGTCACGAGTCCCGAAAATCGGCACTCGAGTCCGAGTCCAGGACTTGAGTACTCCATCTCTGTAGGGATCACACTAGGGCTGTACCCGAATATCCGTTCGTTGGAGATTCACTGCTTCCTGCTTCTTACAGTGCAGACGTTTTTCTGCTTGCTCTTGCCTCTGCTTACTTTTTCATGCTGATTTTCCTATTTTTCTTTTCTGATAACTTCGAGCAGCGGCTCCTGGACATTAACTTATCACTGGGACAGTTATTCTTCGTAAATAGATGAAGGGTTTCAGCCATATTTCAATATTTTTACGACGACCTCACTCCTACAGTAGCGTGGCCTAACAACAGCTAAAGCCTGGTACTGCATGCTATTTAGCTAGTTAGCAGCAAAATGCCTCCGCTCTCTACAGATGACTTCCACAAACTTCTACAGAAGATGGCAGTGTTGGAAATGAAAATGCAACGGTTGGAAGTTAACGTGGAAGTGAATGGACTAGGTTGGAATGACACCACTTTACCAGTGCAAAAGAATGGAAAAGGGCATGCTAACTTACAGCTAGCTAGCAGCTACAAGGATTCCAAGGAACAGCAGGGCTGTGTACCGGGTAATAAATCTACAAGTGGTAGTCCTCCCTCGAACTCTCTGGGTGCAAGGCCGAAGAGTAAATAATTTCCATGGGATTTGGGAGAACGAATAACAGGCAGAGCCCAGCGCTCTGAAATCTGTAATGCGACCGGCTGGCCTGCATTGTTATCACCCAGGAAGAGCGCCTCTTCAACCCCTATTCATACTAGGAAGCAGCCGTGGACAGCTGCTAAAGGGAGAACTACAAACAATCCTCCTAAACCACCAAGTGTGCCAATCCAGAACAGATACGCTCCACTGACACAGAACCGGAGATCTCTTTCTGATGAGCTGGATAACCTGTCCTCTTCACACAGCAGGGTAAGGACCAATAGCTACTCCAAAAGTAAAAGGCTAGAGGGAAAGCTAACGACTAGGCCTGAAACTCTGATTGTGGGTGACTCTGCTGTAAGAGATGTAAAATGCATTCACTACTACTTACATTTAATATCTAACTCCTTCAGCCTACTTTCAGCTGCACAAACCATTCCACTATTAACTTACTCAGCTATTTCAGGACATTGAGGCTATACATGTTGTTGTTTATACCTTTTTTAAACCTTTTCTTTTAAATATTAAGCTTCTTCACTATTTTTCCTACTCTTCCAGTTTAAGTCATTGCAATGCATTTGAGCTGTAACAATTTGATTCAAATCATTTCACTTCTCTGTATTTCTCCGCTAAATTCAGCAACACACTTACTTGGTTTTTGTAGCTAAAAGCACAAAAAGGTTCATAGCAGAGGTGAGAAGTAACTAAGTACATTTACTCAAGAACTGTACTTAAGTACTATTTAGAGGTACTTTTACTTTACTTGAGTATTTCCATTTAATGCTACTTTGTACTTTTAGAACAGTTCAGAGGTAAATGGTGTACTTTTACTCCACTCCATGTATTTAATACCTTTAGTTACTTTACAGATGTGGATGTGTGATGTGAAATATAATCAAGTGTTAAATCAGACTTTAGTTCCACCTGGAGTAAATTCACAAGCTACCCTACAGTATACAAAGTCATTCAAACTAGCTGCACCTTTACCAGCTTTGAGAACACTTTCATGATCAATCAAGACAACTCAATACAACCGAAAGACACAACAAAACAAATGTACAGCTACTACGTAGGTTCATAGCAGAGGTGAGAAGTAACTAAGTACATTTACTCAAGAACTTAAGATTCCAGTCTACGAGAATCTTAGGTTATATACGTGTTAGAGCCAGTATTTTTGTTTTCATAAGAAAGGCCACCTAATTGTGACGTCTGTAGTCAACACACTATAAAAGATTACAATTCCCACAGCGCCTGCTCTAACTTGTCATCTACTAATATCTCCCAGTAACTTGGACCAGCGTGTATTTATTGAATCACCTTTGTTGTACAGCCTGTGCTGAAACACTGTTTTATATGAAGGCTTTTAAAACTGTATTTATACTATATTGATACTGTTTTCATACCGTTTTAAACACGGTTTGAATACAGTTTTTAATACTATATTTATACTGTTTTTATACTGTTTTTACCCCTGGCAGAAGCAGCTAGGTCGCATCAGCTCCAGTTAGCTCCAGTTAGCTCCAGTTAGCTCCAGTTAGCTCCCATTAGCTCCCGATAGCTCTTGTTAGCTCCCGGTGCTAACTCACCTGAACGAAGGTTGTTTTACTGGATCCTGCAATGCCGGTGTCTCCCCCGGTGTCCCGGAGGCCGCTAAACCCCCCCGGTTCTCCGGTAAATCCTCCGGAGCTGCCGAGGCCATGATGTCTGATGTTGTGGTGAACTGCCGTAAAGACACTAGTACTGTTGCAAAATGTGAGGTGGCAGAGTACACTTAGTGACCGCCAGAGGGAGCCAAATACCTTATCAATAATAATAATAATAACAATAGATTACATTTTTATAGCGCCTTTCAAGGGACCAAAGGCCACTTTACATGCTGTCAACAAACAAACAAACAAACAAGCAATGAAGTATTAACACGTTAAACGTTATTGATCCCACATTGGGAATTATTTAGTTACATAAGGAGACATTTCAGTAAAAAGATATCCACATTTATTTATATATTTTTTTTCAAATTAGTTATTGTGATTGAATTATATATTGTTATTTTATTTATTGTTTTATTATTATTATTGTTATTATTATTATTGTCTTATTAGAATTTTTATTTCATCATTTTTATTTTATTATATTTTATTATTTTATCATTTTTATTATCTTATTTTATTATTCTCAAAACAGAGAATCAAACGACCGTAAACAGGAAACGCTTGGACATTAGGCTTGTTTCAGATGAGCGAGACCGACGCAGACCTGCACAATTGCGACCGCCGTCTTGCTAGTGCGTTGCATGATGGTTAGTAATTATGTACGCCTTGCTCTGGAGGCTCGACTACATGAGACATTGAAATCTCGCGGGACAAAGACGCCGGCAGCCTTGAGAGCGAGGCGGAGCAGTTTCTCTCCACGGGCTGCGGAAGCGAAATGCTTGATGGGAAACGACTCGCTGGTATATCGAGCTGAGCGCTCATTGGTGGTTTTTCCCCCGTGCTGGTGATGAAACTCTCCAATAGGCTACATGCACTAGGGTCTGAGACGTACTTCCGCCTTAGCCGTAATACGGCTCGGCTGCTTCCGGTTTACTTCCGGTCTGCGTAGCTGAGCGGGAGATCGTCCACAAAGGTTTTACTGTTTAAATCTATGGTTTAAATATGAGTCGACGGAACATTTGCAAAGACAAGTGAATAACTACTCCGAGCACTGCTGTGTCCCACTTTGTACGGCGTCAGCTAAATTCAACGGCGTCCTAAGTTTCCATGGCTTTCCGACTGAACTCGAGCTGCGAAGACAGTGGCTGGTAAAAATACGGCACGATAACTTTACAATATCCTCTCACTCCAAGGTCTGCAGTCGTCACTTCGCTACGGATCAACTAATAGAGCCAAAAACCCTTGATGGCCGTAGGAGGCTTGTGAAAGGTGCTGTACCAACTCTGTTTGAGTGGAATCACTTTACTGCTCAAACACAGCGGGCTAGTGTTTGGGAGAGAAGGGAGCGGCCCACTGAACCAGTCTCTCGGGAGGAGCAGGAAGAGCACATCGATGTCCGTGACCATGATTACTGCTCAACCCCTGAACCAGCTTCACTGGACATGTCCTCTCAAGCTACAGAAGACAACTCCAAAACAGTGGAGGATCTGCAGAAGCAACTGCAGGAGTTAAGAGTCCAGCGAGAGTTTTGCTTACAGCGGTTTGCTGGCTCCGACGACAACATCCGATTCTATACCAGGTAAAGTTTTGTCTCAATTCTATCCAAGTTTTTGAGATGGGTTAGCTTATAAAGAATCCTGTTTACCTGCCGTGTGACCGCTGACTATATGCATGCAGTGTTGGGATATTTTATTTATTTAATCGTTTATTTGGCAGGGACAATGCACAGTAATGAACACTTAAAACATTCAAATGTATCAAGCGTAACAGTGCCAGATTTAGCTTTGAGCTAATTTCCATCCGCAGTCCCTCACATTAAACATTTAAGAAAATTACATTTTACAAACATGGTAAAAACAAAATACATGATATGCAAAAAGTGCAAAAGAGCAAGAGCAGCATACACAAGTATTACCACATGGCAGTAATAGCAGCTACGACATATAAAGTGCAAGAGAAGATAAAAGTGCTAGATAAAGTGCAAGAGGAGATACCCCTGTGTTAACGGAGAGGACATTTTGACCAAAAGTGGTCCGTCTGTGGTGGAGTTCAGTCTCCTCTGGTTTCTGACCTAGTGCAGCGTCCAGTGTGTTTTTTGTCAACTTAACTGAAGTATAAGTACAAATACTATGGTTTTAAAATACTCCTGAACTGAACATGTAGAATCATAAATCATGTGTTTTCATATATAAAAAGTAACTAGAAACTATGAAGGTTAACTAAATGTGGTGGAGTAAAACATACTAATACTAACAACATACTGATAATACTTTACTACAAGTGGAAATCTTCAAAACCTTACCAAAGTAAAAGTATGTCAATATCCACTGCGTTTCCCCCAGTTGCACACTTAAGAATGAAGAGTAAAAGTAGTCATTGTGTGTAAAATGTTCCCTGTATGTTTTAGATTATTATTACTGCTGCTTTAATGTAGTTGTTACATTTTACTGCTGTAGATTACTATACCTGCACCAAGTGCCTTCTTAATCAGTTTGAATCGTAATGTATTATAGCAAACAAGAAGAAAACATTAGCCCATGTGTTACAGTTAACACGATTGTATTTACTGTCAATTAATGACTGACATGTGTCTTTTGTGAACAGATTCCCGAGCTATAACCACCTGATGGCCTTCTGGTCTTTGATTGAGCCTTCAATTCATAAAATGGTTCGTGTTACAAGAGCGATATCAGCTGCCAAGAGGAATGAAGAAGTGGTTACACACGCACGTCCATCAACGGTAGGCTACGTTTCTTTTAACACACAATCTAAACACAAACTGAAGGGAAAATGTTTCTCCGACATTTCATTGCTTTTGTGTAGGCTAAAAGGCTAAAGTACTCAATCCTTTTTGAATACATCAGAGAACTAAAACAACTTCATGTTTTTCCCATAGTGTGCTACACTCATGACATTAATATAGTAACCTTTTTTTGTTTTTATCTTCCAGAGACAGCTGCTTCAGCCAATTGACGAGTTCTTTCTTTTTCTATGCTTCCTGTCGGTGGGTTTGAAAGAGAGGGACCTTGCAAACCGCTTCAACGTACACCAGTCCACTGTGAGCCGCATCATTGCAACATGGACACGTTTTCTTACAACTTTATTGGGGTCACAGTGCATCTGGCTTACACCTGCAGAAGTTCAAGCCCACCTCCCAGAGGCATTCAAAGATTTCCCAGACACACAGGTGATCCTCGATTGCACAGAGCTGAGGTGTCAAACACCATCCTCACTCCTCCTCCAAAGTGAAATGTATTCTACATACAAATCTCACTGCACCATGAAAGCCCTGGTTGGCATAGCCCCACATGGCGCAGTGACATTTGTTTCCAGTCTGTATGGTGGTTCTGTCAGCGACAAGGAGATTTTCAAACAATCTGGAAGAGCTGCGTTGTTGACTGAAAACATGGCAGTGATGGTAGATAAGGGCTTCCTGATCAGCGATTGCTGCAAATGCAAGGTGTACTGCCCACCTTTTCTGTCACAGCAGAAGCAAATGCCAGCCTATCAGGTGAGGGAGACACAGGCCATTGCCAGACTGAGGGTTCATGTGGAGCATGTCATTAGGAGGATAAAAGAGAACAAGCTTTTTGATGGTGTCATCCTCCTGTCCCATGCCTACAACATCAACCAACTGTTTGCAGTAGCATGTATGCTGTCAAACTATCAGAACAAAGCACTGGTCAAGAAATGGGTGAAATAAGACAAGATGATGACACCTGTGCAGGTAGCTGTGATTAAGCTGGGTGAGCACACCGTAATCCCGTGTTGCCTAACACACGCTAGTGTTTTGTTTGAATAAATGGTAAATTGCAAATTACAATGTGTTGATGATTTCTTACAAATGCAATGATTTACTATTAATTACAAAAAATCAATTCACTTTATTGTCTTTTTAACTACAATTGTATATTTATTTACATATATGAAATGTGATAAACAATATATATCAAAAACAAAATATCAAATACAATATTGAAATCACAATTTGTTGTCATTCAGAACATATGATTGAGGGATTGCCTCCTAAAAAACAGCTGAGTCAGGGTCTAGCAGCTAACTGCTTACAGAGTTAACAATGGCTACAGTGCCCACTACTTTTTTAATGACAGGTACTTCGGCATGTATGTGTAAAAAAAAAAAAAAAGTCTACTTTTTCTCTGATTGCTCTTTGCACTTCTGGATCTGTGTATATTCTTTGCACCAGGTAGTCCTCCTGTGCCCACACTACAAAGTCACACCACTGCATGGGGAGTAGTTCACGTTTGCCAGTCTACTGTATTCAGCTGCTACTGTGGGCTCCATCTCTGCACCTCTCCTCATTTCTGCAGTCTGCCTTGTACCTTTGAGTATTCACTCTGCAAGAGAGTTAGCAGAGCTCTCACCTCTGACGTGACAAATCTCTCTAAACCTAGAGGCAGTAACCCTGGGTTTGCGGAGCAGATGCCACTCTGAGCTAGAGCTTTGCTCACGGGTAGCCTCCTCAATTTTGTGAGACATTTCCAAATCAACAGATAAGCTGTTCATATGTAGTTGCTCCTCTTCTGAGCACACCAGCGGGAAATCACATGGCAAGATCACATACCCCTCTATGGGCAAGTGGGGTGTTGGTGGTGTGTCAGTGTGAAGTGTGGTGTACCGAGACGTCAAAGCAGGCCTACACTCAAACTGTGTGCTGTCTCGCTCTTCCTCATTGACCTGTAGCACAAGGCTCTCACGCTGACCTGCCCTGTCAGCCTGTCTTTATTGGACACTGAATGAAGAAAAACAGAGCAACAGCGTTAGATCTATACTCACGTCAAAACATCTATGGCAACATTGCTTTACAAAAGCTGATACCATTATGCAGTGTGGCTAACAAGACAACGTTTAGTAGGCTAGGCTATAAGGCTATTAACACTAGAACCGCCAGAGATTTTCAAGGTAAAATGTTCTTTTATTGAACAGAGAGTTTTGATCGCACAGGGATGAAAACGTATACCAATATAATCTGTGGACTCTCAGGGCTCGACATTATAAATGTCCCGCTGGGCCGGAAGCATTATTTAGACACCGCGGCCAGCATAACGTACTTTCAACTCGCCCCACAGCTGTTTGCTGCGGAGCGCAGTGCGCGCAGTCTCCCGTGAGCGGGAGCACACTCCTTCACTACAGACTGACTGACTGACTGACTGACTGACTGACTGACTGACTGACTGACTGACTGACTGACTGACTGACTGACTGACTGACCGACCGTCCGTCCGTCCGTCCGTCCGTCCCTCTCTCTCTCTCTCTCTCTCTCTCTCTCTCTCTCTCTCTCTCTCTCTCTCTCTCTCTCTCTCTCTCTCTCTCTCTCTCTCTCTCTCTCTCTCTCTCTCTCTCTCTCTCTCTCTCTCTCTCTCAATCTATCTCTCAATCTATAAGGAGGAACCGCAGTAGACAAAAGGCGTTGCTATAGCAACATGTCATGTTTATATGAAAAGGGGTGGGGTCAATATGACCCGCTTGGCGGAAATAGGTATAAATGGCAATTTTTTGGGTGATTTCTTCAATCTGACTTCATATTGACAATTTTTAACAACAGAGGGTGGTACATAACACACTTTCAGGAAAAGTCACGGACTGGGAGACTTTAATATTTTATTGAAAAAAAGTTACATCAAATATAAAACAGCTCGGGGTCAAATTGACCCCGTTGGCGGTTCTAGTGTTAAACGATAGTATTTTTGAGTAAAATGGCTAATGTTTTAAAGAATTAACACCAGAAACAGTACATAGCGTTATAGTAGTCTACTATAGTAGTAGTAGTAGTAGTAGTAGTATAATAGTAGTTCTACTATAGGGCTCTGGCGTTACCTAGCTTTTGACAGCTGACGTTAGCGTAACCTGTAGCATAAGCTAGCTGGTTAGTACCTGTTACTCCAGTTACCTTCTTACCTTCATAGTTGTGTATATATGACGCAGCATATAATTTGAAGCCTTTATCGAGTTTGCTGGCTGGGGCTTTAGTCGTCCTGCAAATGCGATGAACATCGCTAATTTTCAATTTCGGGAGCTCTTGTAGACACCGGGTGTAGAACGTCGCCATTGTTGTTGTTGTACCGGAAACAGTTGGGCAGTACTACGCACAATGCAGAAGTGACTGTGCATGTAGCCTATTGTGCAGGTCTGCGTCGGTCTCGCTCATCTGAAACAAGCATAATGTCCAAGCGTTTCCTGTTTACGGTCGTTTGATTCTCTGTTTTGAGAATAATAAAATAAGATAATAAAAATGATAAAATAATAAAATATAATAAAATAAAAATTATGAAATAAAAATTCTAATAAGACAATAATAATAATAACAATAATAATAATACAATAAATAAAATAAAATAACAATATATAATTCAATCACAATAACTAATTTGAAAAAATATATATAAATAAATGTGGATATCTTTTTACTGAAATGTCTCCTTAACACACGGCCCGTTTATTCAGAGTATTAATGAGGATGTTGGAGAGCTGCTGATGTAACTAAATAATTCCCAATGTGGGATCAATAACGTTTAACGTGTTAATACTTCATTGCTTGTTTGTTTGTTTGTTTGTTGACAGCATGTAAAGTGGCCTTTGGTCCCTTGAAAGGCGCTATAAAAATGTAATCTATTGTTATTATTATTATTATTGATAAGGTATTTGGCTCCCTCTGGCGGTCACTAAGTGTACTCTGCCACCTCACATTTTGCAACAGTACTAGTGTCTTTACGGCAGTTCACAACAACATCAGACATCAAGGTGCAATCTCCTGATGATATAGAGTGTATTATAGTGGAAATCTGCAACCCTAGGAAACAAGATAACATTAGGATAATCAATTTATACAACCCATGTAAAAATCTAACCACTAATATATTTAAAGAAATAGCAGGCAATAAACATAGGAAGGAAGTTTGGTGTGGTGATTTCAATGCACACAACAGTCTATGGGGCAACAACCATACAGACAGTAACGGAAATATAGTGGAAGAAATGCTGGAGGAAAGAACACTAGTATGCCTTAATGATGGACATGGCACAAGAGTAGATGTACACAGGGGGAAAGTCTCATGCCTGGATCTGACATTAGTGTCAAACTGTTTGGTTCATACATGCGAATGGTTTGTTTTGAATAACTCCACAGTAGGAAGTGACCATTATCCAGTGCTTACTAAAATGAATACTAATGTATATATACAGGAAGGAGGTGTAATAACCAGGTGGTGCTTTGCTAAAGCTGATTGGGGAAATGTAGGATATGGTGTGAGGAGTCGGTACACCTGCTAACATCAGAGGGAAGCATAGAGGTAATTACAAGCCAAATAACGCAACATATTCTAAATGCAGCAGAGAACAGTATACCCAAAACAACAACCAAGGGTAGGAAGAAAGTGGTGCCATGGTGGAATGAGGAATGCAGCAGGGCTATTAAAGAGCGAAATAATGCATTTAGAGAATTAAAGAAAAACATGACACAAAATAATGTTATAGAGTTTCAAAGGAAAAGGGCAGCTGCTCGAAGGACAATCAAATACACACAAAAAAGAACATGGAGAGAATTTTGTTCTACCATTGGCAGAGGAGTAACATTAGGTGATGTCTGGTCCATGTTTAAGCGGATGAGTGGGAAAAGGAAATCCATTAAAATTCCAGCTTTGGTTGATGGGGAGAGGCTGGCAGTGACAGATAAAGAGAAGGCAGACATGTTAGGAAGGACACTTGCAGCAGTACATAGCGGGGAACATCTCAGTGATATTCATAGGCAGCAAAAACAGCAGTTACTAGCAGAGAATGAAAACGTGAAGGAGAAGAGACAGGATAATAGGTCAGCTCTTGAGGTGGAATTTACAATGTCAGAACTCAAAATAGCCTTACAAGGTACAGGATATACAGCCCCAGGACAAGACCAGCTATGTTATGCTATGTTTAGACAGTTGCCTATGGAAACTATGACAATGGTGCTGAGTCTTTTCAATAAAATCTGGAGAGAAGGAGATATGCCAAGTTTGTGGAAAACAGCAGTCGTGCTACCATTCAATAAACCAGGGAAAGATACAGCTAACCCTAGTAACTACAGACCAATAGCTCTTACATCACACCTATGTAAATGGATGGAAAAGATCATTGTCCGTAGGCTCTCACATGTACTGGAGCAGAAAGGGCTGCTGAGTAGTTTTCAGAGCGGATTTCGTAAAGGGCGGTCCACAATAGATGCTTTAGTAAGAGTGAGTAATGATGTGGAAAAAACATTGAAAATGAAAGAGATAATGGCAATAGTGTACTTTGACATTGAAAAAGTGGAGAGGTGGTCATATAACTGGGGATTCAAAATGTCAGAAAGCAAGTCATGCTACATGGTATTCACAAACAAACGCAAGATTGATGGCCAACAGCTAACACTATATGATCGTCCAATGACAAAGGTGAATGAGTTCAAATACCTAGGACTGTGGTTTGATAGCAAATATACATGGAAAATGCATATTAAACAAGTGGAAACAAAATGCAAAAAAGTATTAAATGTATTGCGAGCTGTAGCTGGATGCAACTGGGGCGCAGACAAACAAGCATTAATAGACATTTACAGATCAATTATGAGGTCCACAATAGATTATGGTTGTATAGTGTATGGAGCAGCAGCAAAAACATCGCTTTTAAAAATGGATAGAATACAATATAAAGCATTGCGGTTGTGTATTGGAGCGATAAAGTCATCCCCTATCAATGCAGTTCTGATAGAAGCAGGAGAGACACCTCTGGAGATCAGAAGAGAGAAACTTGCTCTGTCATACTGGGTCAGGCTACAAGGAAGTG